GGCTACAGAAAGGAAATAATGGCCATATAAGGAGTGCAATAATCGAACATCTCGTCAATACTGGTCATTCCATCTCAACGAACGCCTCCTTCAAAGTAATCTACAAAGTGAAGAACAACCTTCCAAAGACAGTACGATTCCGTCTTCTTTGCATCGCAGAAGCCCTAGCCATCCAGTTGGAGGAACCAGAACTATGCATACAAAAGAAAATTATCCAACCACTTTTACTCGCATGGTAACTACTCCTTTGATTTGACCTAACTTTTCTTTGTTTGTTTGATTTGACCTTACTTCTGTTTGTATGCTTATTTTTCTAACTTAAAACCCTTGTGTAATTCTGTATATTATTTTGTTTCCATGTACACCCTTTGAGCACAACTCATTCATCAAACTATTCATGCCATTACGTAACTCTTATTTAACAATCATTTATGACAACTCATCACTTTTGTTGCTATCCTCTTATCAACATCCAATTCATCTGAACCTACTAATTGTATTTTCGTTTGACAAATTTAATGTATACACACACACACAAAATAACCATATATATTTGCGATTGTACAGCTATGAAAATGAATTCGCCGAAAAGAGACTCTTCGCTGAACTACTTGTCTTCTGTCTACAAAAACTTTAGCAGACTAGGGATCTCCCCGTCTTCCAATCTAGATCTCCATCCTCGGCCCTCATTTGGTTGTGTTCTACTGTTCTGTGTTTGTGTGGAACAAAACTGCTACCCCGAGCTCCACAATTCAGGAGTAATTTTCTAGTTGTTAAGGTTTCGCTACTTCTGTAACAGTAACTGCACTTGATAACCCTAAAGTGACATAATAATGACTCTGAACAACCAATCAGATGAACCCATAGTACATAAGCGGAATTATGGATGCAGTACATGAATTACATCATAGACTTCATCCAGATTTCGTATTTCATTGCTGTTGGGATGATAGACTCGTAGGAAGAGATAAAACATGGAGATGTGGGGGAATAATGTATTCCCAGATATATGCAGTTTTTGTCGATGGATATCTGTGTAAATTTCCAGCTTACTGTTGCAGGAAATCTGGTCCAGAAGGTATGTCAATCCTTTTTTAAGTTCCTCGGTGATGTAGAGAGGTGAGTGACCCAAGGGACAGCATAACATATAGTTATTTGGATGAATTTATGTATAGAAATTCGTTTGGCGTATCAATAAAGACTCCAATAAAGAACTCCGAAGCTTTGTTGGAACACATACAAGAGCATTACCCTGAGTAGATATTTTTTAACATTACAATCTATTTCAACAAAAACATTTTTAATTACGAGTCTTTTTCCCTTTGAAATCATCTGATTGGTTGATGAACATTCACCAAGGTCATTGTGAAGGCCTTTCCTATCGCTATAGTATAAAGTTCAAAACTGGAGAAGATGATTAAATACCCCATCGGCAAAAATGTTATGACAATGGTAATATGCTATCTTCAACGTCATGTGTCCGAGGGTGACATGGAGGAGATCTTGAGAGTTGGATGAGATGAGAGACTATGGGCACTCGTGGGGCCAGCTAATGAGGACCACAGAGAATAGGACAAAGTGTAGACGTCCTGTTGAAGCTCTATGTTACACTCTGAACCGAATGGAACAATAATAACAACAGTAAAAATTTGCTTAATCGACTTCTTTGTCAACTATATAAAACTTCTGAGTTGGGATGAAAATACTGTTGTACTGTCCACCCCCCGTTCGTCTCCCCATTAGTTTCTACTGTCTACTTGCACCGCTAATCTCATTGTTGCATTCTTCGGAACTTACAGGAACATGTCATCTTCATCAAAAGACCTTTTGGCGACTTTTGTCATATAAGAAACTAGCGAATACAATATTGTCGTACCTCGAGAATCCTCTCTATACGCAGCTGTCTCCTTGCATTTCATCTGGTAGAACTAGAAGCAGCTATAGTAGGAAGCTATATGCTAGGACTACCAAATACAAAACTCCACAATACTCCACAATCTGGCACAGCTGTTATGTGATGAGAAATCCGTTAGGTATGACACGACCAACTTACTGCGCGACACTCTAACAAATAGTCCCATTAGTTTTTGTTTTCCTTTCCTCGTTACTATTACACTGTTGTTCTCATCTTCTATGACACATCAACCTTATATTTCATATCCTGTGGTGCATTGTCTTAAATGTAAACTTTACGCTGTTTTTATTATTTTTTAATTTATCTTTTATTTTTTGGCGTTGGTTTTTATTTATTTATTTGATTTTAAAAATCTTATAAAAATTTATAAGGTGATTAGATGCAATATATTGTAATACACGCTGAAAATTCCATACCTGTACCACAGATACTGTTTGGAATAAAGCTGTTAATATTATTATTAATGAACAAATTCTGTCAGTATGTAGAGGCCAAAAAATATCAAATTAAATGTTCAGTGTAAAATAGTAAAAATAATGAATTCATTGCACATCATGGGTGTTAATTGACATATTGAATAAGGACTCCAACTTGTTCCCCTTGCATTACGCACGACACAACTCTCCTTCAGCTTCTTGCTTCCCCACTATCGTAAATCGTCGTCGGCGCATCCCTGATGCGTATATTCACGCTTTGGATCTTTTGTTTCAATCTCCTCTTTTTCTATGCCAGTACCCTCGGGCTGTTGTTATACTCTTGCGTGGAGTGAGCAACTGCAGATCTGAAGGACTACTACATTACTTCAACTGTTTACGTCTTTATTTGTATATATATATATATATATATACCTTATTACAAGTATGTATTTATTTCGTTATTTCCCTTTGCGTATAAACGAGCTTAACCGGTTATTCCACTACAAATGGACACAACTCAACAATGAATCGTAACTGTGGATTATATTGTTAATTTGTATAATTGGAATGTAACTGTATCGCCAAGTATCCATTATCTTTTTATAACTCATTTAGCTGTATATCTGTTATATTGTGTTTGAATCAATATTCATTTTTGACTTGGATTTTATTCTGATATTTCGCATACTTCTGGAGCCGATTGTTTAGCCTTTAACAAATGTGAAGCTGTCCAAGTTGCTTGATTTCAGGAAAGCACGTGTAAAGCTAATGGAGAAAAAGCGAACGAAATACAGGGGATGACAGAATAACTTCGTCGGAAATCATGAGGATATATATATGGGATCTGAGAGGTCACAAAATGTAAATAAATCTACGCCAGTGATAGTGATTTTGAGTGATGTCATAAACAGACACTAGCCTATAGTTCTTAGCTTCTCGATGACCTCAACCTCCCTTCGTGCCTGACTCATACCCAAAGTCAATGATTTCATGAACTGATGTTATGAACCCAGTCGAACAACAAATTAATAATGTATTCAAGTATTGGTTTGTAGGGATTTGATTGATTGGTTACAGGATTTCATTATGAGCTGACATCGGCTAGAGAACCATTGGAAAACCACTACTGAAGTACTGGACAGCTGTTTCGTCCTAGTTTGGGACTCTTCAGGAGTACGCACCCACCGGGATTCGAACCCAGGACCTTCTGGTTACAGGGCGAGCTCGTATACCATTAAGCCACTGAGACCCGATCCAATGGCCCATGAATTCTAACTTCTGCCGATTCACGATTGAGCACAACCGCTAGCCAATGTCTTCGGTGAGTATTTGTCCTTACACCCGACCTGCTTCGCCCTACTGGTCATAACTTCTCACTAGAACCTCAGGTAACTACCTACCTGAATAGAGCCAGTCACCAGTGTGCATCTCATTGGTATTCAAGTATTGGTTTGTAGGGATTTGGTTGATTGGCTACAGGGTGCAGGAGGTCGGGTGTGAGGACAAATACTCACCGAAGACATTGGCTAGCAGTTGCGCTATATTGTGAATCGGCAGAAGTTAGAACTCATGGACTGACCATTGGATCGGGTCCCAGTGGCTTAATGGTATACGAGCTCGCTTGCCTTGTAACCAGAAGGTCCTGGGTTCGAATACTGGCTGTGTATGTACTCCTGGAGAGTCCCAAACTAGGACGAAACAGCTGTCCAGTAGTTCAGTAGTGGTTTTCCAATGGTTCTCTAGCCGATATCAGCTCATTATGAAATCCTGTAACGTTAATAATGTCTCAGAGTGAAAAAAAGTTAAGCAAAGTCGAATTAGTAAATGATCACATCTTTAATGTTCACAAATACTCCTTAGGGAATACGGCTTATAAGTAGAAAGTTTACTGAAGCATGAAATCTTTAAAGGCCTGATTATTGAACAAAGAATATTGACATATGAAAGGAATATTTATGGCTCAGCTGGATGATTATGCTGTGGTTGCGTTTTCTCCGAGCTGATGTTGCTGTCTACATCAACAATGAAAGCTTAGCAATTAAACCACCCAATTTAGAGAATAGAATCGTGTCAAAAACGAATATGGGATATTCTTTTCAACAACTTCTTGGAGGGACATACTGAGGGTCAAAATAACAACGGAGACCAACAAATCAAAGGAGGGAAGTCATAGTGCATTTTCCCTGACCAGTATCAAAACAAAGTTTATCAAAGAAGGTTTCATATGATGACGAATTGAACGCACGAAGGTGGTTTAAACTTCCCAATTGTCAGCTACGGCTTCCACAAACTTTAGAATGCACCTCAAACACGTTTTACAGACAGGTTTAAAAGATGTGTAAACGTCAGTTTTATGTCCTGACTGTATAATGTGTTTCTCAGTAGAAGAGCTAGGTCGTCTGTTCTCACCATTAATGTGTTCAGGAGATTCAGTTTACTTCCCAAGCCCTTACTTTCTCAAATCGATGTATCCTCCCTGTGTATGTGTGTCCACACGTGCATTCAAATTGGTAAATACATTTGGATGTGACATCATTTTTCACATTTTCTAAGGGCTTAGATGAATATATGGACTTCGCATCCTCAATTATAATAACCTTAGCTGCATAAAATTTTTTCAACCTCAGCTTTCAGTCTCTGTTTAGTTACCAAGCTGCTATGATCACCCGTGTAACAACAGAAGACAAGGGCCAGGCAACAGATCGTTTTATTATGAAAATCAACACGTATTTATACATATTTCAGACAACATTATTATAGACAAGCGCAGTCATCTGATTGGTTGTCTAGGTAGACAAACGCAGGCTTCTGATTGGTTGTTTCGGGATTCCTTGACAAATAGAGTTCTCTCTGCGAATCATATTCTGCCACGTTAACTTTGCTGTGATTGGTTGTTGACTCAGGCTTGTTCATATTCTCTCACGGCCCATATTAGTGACCTAGACCTTAACGTAGATTAGTGCCAACCAATCGGCTAGCAGCCTGCTCTCACCACACTCGTCCCCCCGTCAAATACGTGCGACTGAAGTCGGCTTGATCTACTTGGTGCAGGCGTCATCGTTGGCTTGTCTCGCTGTATCCATTTCTGGAGCTCGCTGACGTTCACGCGCCTCTCATTGTTCGCCATTGCGACTGTGTCTGCGTAACCCCATCTCGAAGTGACCATATATGGTCCTTCCCACTTTGGAAACTGTTTGCCTGACCCTGTCGAACATTCGTCCATACTTCGGCCCACACCTACATATGCTGCTTTCGCCCGACCTCCCAGCAGCGTCTCAAGTAGCAGCTCCATCGCTGACAGATCTTGAACGCCACTCAACTGCGCAGAAGCCTTGAAGTCCTGCCCGAAGATCCATATGTCTCCATCAAAAACTGCAGGGTATCGGCTTTTCATTTGTCGGTAGGCAGCGACACCAAATGTAACAACAGAAGACAAGGGCCAGGCAACAGATCGTTTTATTATGAAAATCAACACGTATTTATACATATTTCAGACAACATTATTATAGACAAGCGCAGTCATCTGATTGGTTGTCTAGGTAGACAAACGCAGGCTTCTGATTGGTTGTTTCGGGATTCCTTGACAAATAGAGTTCTCTCTGCGAATCATATTCTGCCACGTTAACTTTGCTGTGATTGGTTGTTGACTCAGGCTTGTTCATATTTTCTCACGGCCCATATTAGTGACCTAGACCTTAACGTAGATTAGTGCCAACCAATCGGCTAGCAGCCTGCTCTCACCACACCCGTATTGGGTAGCTTGATATATACGTATATTTTAGTGGCGAGGTGGAGCTTGGGTCTTGGTCTTCTGACCACTTTATATCTTCTAATGAGTAATTATTATCAACCAGAATTTGTGTCAGCTTTCTTTCTTCCTCATCAACTGTATCTTTGGTGCATATTCGTTGGATTCTACTGAAGAGGCCCCTCAAAAAGGCTTTTTTATATCAAACGAGGCAGAAACTGTGATAATTAAGATACTGAAAATTCCAGAAACTTTCCAGGAGTATACGAAGAACTTCTAACTCAGCGAACCTATGTGTGTCATTCTCCAAATGAAGAATGATTGGGACTCAAACTGAGGATAAGCTAGATAGTTTTGTCACATCTATGGGGGTTTATCAATTCAACTGTACCTGCTGTGACAGTTGTGTTAGGTGTACCACCAGACAGCTTAGCCAATGTGTTACAGAACATCTCCCGTCGTGGTTTGGCAAAGGACAGACAAAAGCTATCCGTAGCTCCGTTTTGTCACAATTAGTTGATAGTGGCATGCAGAGGAGAAAACGAAAGTACTCAAGGTAATTCATGGCATCCCTCCGGATCTTTTCAATGAACTTCGTATTTGTCTACTGCGCACACAAAGCTGAGGTGGTAGATATTCGAACTATTGAGCCTAAGTTATGCATTCAAAGTTAGTTCGTACAGTCATTATCCCTTCCTTGTTGACCTATTAAGACTTAATAAAACTGATGACATCACCCCCACCGCCCCTTACTTAGATAACCAACTCTTCTCTTATCATCCCTTAATTTTAATACATCTTCATTAAGACACGGTTTATTTACTTCCCTTACAATCGAACATTACTTAATCAGATTTTACTTACTTAATTACTTAGTCGATTACTTCTACCTGAGCCTTCGTTATTCCTGTTATCACAGATCGCCTCACTTTTTCATCCGTGTTATTGATAGAATCATTATTTTTATTATTGTTATGACTAATTGCGCAATTTATATGCACAATCTTATTATCCTATTAACAAAATTATGTAGGCATATTATAGTTAAGCCAGATGAGATCTAATTGAAACTACAATATTGTTCGCTTAGAAGTGTTATTCTAAATTTTACTATGGGAAAATTTAATATTTTGAAACTGGGATACTGTCCTGTTCAAGTGTCTTTTCTATAAATAGACCGTCTAACTGATCTATCAAGCTGTCGACTAAGCGATATGTCTAGGAAAGATAAACAATTATCTTCCTCTTCTACAGACGTACGTGATACGCTATTCTGAACTTCATTCATTCGATTTAAAATTGAGATGACAGAACAAGGCTTATCACTTACGATTGCAATGTTGTCGATTTACGTTCTATAAAGTGGTGCATTCTCGACTAAATCTTCCGATAAACTCTGAATGTACAACAGATAGGTATCTGCTAAAAGGGCCCTAATAGATATCCCATAGCGATACCATCGACCTGGTGGAAACAGTCGCCTTCAAATGTGAATCTAACATCCCTAGTACATGGAAGTAATAAATCCTTTAAATAAGATTTAGGGAACGAGATTAGAAAAATTATGTGTGGAAATGTATTTACATAAAATGTCATTTTATTTTAAATAAAGGTACTTTATTTGAATTGTTTAGATTTTCCCGTCGATTGATTGAACCGAAGTGCTCGGTCTCAGGTTGACATGTCGGCTTCTTATGCAGATGCTTCGACGATGTCTGGGCATGTAATTAGAAGTTGATCGGTGGATGGTAACTGGCAATGGAATCCAGAATATGCGTTTCGTCCCATTTAGGACTCGTCACTGGATGTGACTGTGTGCCCCAGTGAGTGAATAAAGAGTTTACACCAGAAGAATACATATTTTCATTATTATTATTGTTATTAATACCATCAAGGTAATTAATTAGTTCAAATGTATCTTTTAATACATCATTATTGTTTCTTTCTAAATAATATCGAGTCACCAAGGTGAATACATTTCAGTTCAGAATCATCCATAAGTTATAATGTGTATCGGTATAACACTAAACAGAATTTATTCCCACAGATTGATCCCACAGTAAGCAAAGGTAGCAAAACGGACTGGACTGGTTTCTGTTGATACATCTAGAAATCTTCTGTATTTGTTACAGTTTCGACCATGTGTTGAAATCAGTCACGAAACCATTAAAGTACTAGACAACTTTTTCGTCCTAGTTTGGGATTCTTCAGAATTACTCATCGACAGCTAGACTTCAAATCCCGGACTTTCCAACGAACTCGTAGACTATTCAGTCACTAGGATCTGATCCAAATATTTACTCCCAAACAAAAAGTAACTCCATGTGCGATTAGAACTTACAGGTGATGTGCCAAGTGAAGTAGTAGCCAAAAGGTTAACAAAATCGATTCATGAAACTTTTAATGTCAGTAAATTACACTCTATTTTATAATTCCGAAGTTGAAAGACGAAGTACCTAGACTAGCTAACTCTTCCTATGTCTATCAGTCCAACTGCTTCTGGAGAGACAATAATATCAGTCGTTGCTTTAGGAAATTGATTTTCTTCTTCCTGCGAACACCTACCAGTGTGACTAGTTGAAGGTGTAACTAAAGACATCAGTAGTTTGAAATTTACACATCTTATTCAAACAGACCATAATATCTACAAAGAAGAATCCCTTTCTGTTACCTTTCGTTTACTGAATAAATTGTAAAAACCAATATGTAACGAATACTCCAAACAGCAGGAGAGATTTCGATTCGATTACAACAACGGGGACTATCCACGCAGAAGAAACGCGCCCAGTCAGTATAGTTGACCTGGCCTTTTGTAGAACTTATACATTCATAAATTCCTTATTATTTTCTTCTAAATTTCATCTAATATTCAATTGCATTTTTACGCACATGACCGCTTACAGATGCGTTTGAGATGTAATCTGTACATCATACAGACTCGATATTATTTAAAACCTTAGTGTTGTTACTAACGCTAATCTTGTAATCATCACGGATATCTGTAGAACTTGATGAAGAAGTGATCGAAATCCAATATTCTTTGTTCACTCATCTAAGTCTTTTGAAATTTTTAGTCGATATCTTTAAGCATTAAAATTAAATTTCGTGTAAGTTTCATCAAACTACTGTAGCGAGACTACCCAACTAAGCTCATTTATACGCGAAGAGAAATCGAAGAAATTGCGTTAAGGTATATATATATATATACATGTTAGATACAGTTACTTGATGAGTTGATCTACTCTTGCTCACTTCACGCAGCGGTATGCTAACAGCCCTAGAGGTACCTGCTAAGAGAAGAGGAGGTTTCAGCAAAAGATCCGAGATGTGGATATATTGATCAGACACGGATCAGCGATGATTGGCATCAGTGAGAAGCAAAAAAACTGGTGAGGGAAAACTGTATCATCCGTAGTGAGTAGTGATCTCGATAGAGTCCATTATTCAACATATCAATTAACACCCATGATATGTAGTGAATTCATCGTTTTTACTATTTTACAATGAACGTATAATTTGACCCTTTTCGGCCTCCACACTGCTGAACATCATTTGTGGGAAAAATTCAGAATATATGTATCTACAAGCAGTCGAGTGAATTCTTTTTGGATTAATCATCTTTCCTCAGTGAGAACTAAGAACAATCTACTACTAGAACTGTTTTGAGTAGTATGTATAAAAATGCGACAAAAACACCTTTTTACTTTGTTTAATTACAGATTGATTCCACACCGTATTTTTGGTGCATCTAAGGAATTTTCAGCATGTGATATCGGTAGCCCAAATTTCGCAGGCCGACCATTGATATCAGGCGTGCGTCGGCCGGAGGTCGAACACTGGACCATGTACATGGTCGACGAGAGTCCTAATCACTGTGCCACAGATGCACTGACACTCATTCTCATTTTGTACAACAAAATTCTAAACACCAATGAAAACCAGGTAGTGAGTACTGGACAGTCGTTTTTTCTCAGTAGTTTGGGAACCACTGAACGTACGCACCCACTGACAGGGTTCGAACCCAGGATCTTCTGCTTACAAGGCAAGCTGGTATACCATTCAGGCACTGGAACTCAAAATAATGGCCCATGAGGATAGATTTCCAGCCGGTGACATTGGCTGGTGCCAGTCGCGCTGAAAATCACGAATTCGCAGAAGTTACAATGCGTGGATTGGCCGTTGAATTGGGTGCCAATAGCTGAATAGCACACGAGTTTGCCTTGTAACCAGAAGGTCCTGGGTTCAAACCTCAGAGATGGGTGCGTATGATCGGTGATTCCCAAACTAGGATGAAGCGCCTATTATAATGATTAAATGAAGTGAAATAAATTTTTCACATAGTAAATTGATAACTATTTTATTATGAATAAGGTATTTAGAAGAAAAATTTCGCGAGATGATATAATTTTGTGGTTTCTCTACAACCGCTTTACAACTAACATGGTTCACAGTAATAAAACAAAATAAAATGCATGACAATTGTTCAATCATATAAAACAAAAGTACATACTAATGATTAATCATATTTAAATAGGTCAATTAGTTTATGGTATGCGAAGGCTGAAGTCTATTGTTTTTTGTATACATAGTTTAAGATGCATGTGATTAATCCAGTGTGCTTCCATCACCTTTAATCACCGACCTTGAATTAGAGTTATGTGATAAAATAATGGTGAAGCTGTCATTAACATTGATTTTGTGGCCTGACATTAATAAGTGCTTTGTATAGGTTGATTCTGGATTTCTATTCAGATTAATAATTGCATTGGGATATTCTGAGTGCTTTAATAGCCATTTTGGAACATGTTCTTTTCGACGACATTCAAAGATTCTATTTGTTCTACCTATGCATAAATGTCACCGCAACTGCAGGTGAACTTGTACTTGTAGA